ATGCGGGGACAGGCGTAAATTTGAGGTTCTGTGTGATCTTAGAGGATGATGAGGTTCTCGAACGTAGATTCTCACCTTTCCACCTGGAGTAAAAGAAATCATTGACCACTCGAACGTTTTCTTGAGCCGGAGAGCGCGCTGAGAATGTTCATGCGCCATGCCATGATACTTGAAGCAATTGTCAAACACCAGGTTGACATCGTCTACAAAGCTTTGTAGTGTGGTATAGGGCTTCAGATCCGAGTCGGTGCTTTGGCCGTCTTCGTGTAGCTTGAGCTTTTTCTCGATCGTGCCGAAATCCATGGGCTTCTCGATTGCTCGCAAATAATCCGAGGCATTCTTACTCGAAGGATCGATGGGCTTTGTAAACAGACCTTCTGTGTCCTGCTTGCACAGGCTGGAGAGCACGAGTTGGGCAAAGGAATGCTCCGCGGTAGACATGTTTGCCGATCGAAGCTTTGAGATGATATCCGCGACAATAAGTGCGTTTAACGTCTCTAATTGTGGTTTGTCGTCGTCTACACGCGTCGCCTGTCTGGTAACCTATGGTGAGGGGAAAGGTCAAGTTTCGATCTAATAGAGGTGGCCAATCACGCGAAGGTGTCATTACCTCAGAGTCCAGGCCCGTCTTAGCGCGCTTTGCAGGACGAGCAGTTTCGTCTGCTTCAGGTGTTGTAGGCTCTCTCGTTCGAATAGTTGGGTTGGAGGAGCTGTGAAATAACTCGTCAGGGCACGTATCGACCAATAGAGAGAGAGCCCGATCTGAATCTATACCTCTGGACAGCGATCGCCGGTTCGCTTGTGGCCGCCTGGCCACTTGTTTGCTCTTCCTTCTCGCCAGACGAACGGGAATTTTTGGAGGAAATGTCTGAAGGATTAGACATGGATAGTAATCTACGAAACATTCCAGAGAAGAGCGACCCGTACTTGGTGACAGCCCCTGACCGTGCTGCCACCACTGTAACAGTTGGCTCGGTCTCCGATTATAAGCACCGAGTCATCGTATAGTTTCTATTCGTGGTCTAGACCTTCATTTCAGCTCGTATGCTAAATATATGGCATACAGTGGCATACAGTCTCATGGTTTGGTGGGTCTAGCGACGGAGGTCGAATATACGGT